GTCAGAGAGTCGGTCAGACTCAGTCAGCAACACTCATTAAAACTCCCCATGACGACCGAAGGATGATTATGTTTTCACAGCAAACGTGAAAGGAGTAATCCAGCACACACAAGCACAAACACATACGTAAACATATTGCATAAGGGACATTCTCATTCACATCCACAGAAATGTCAGCGTCTATCAAAATGTCAGCTGGATTCAGCAAGGCACTCGTGCATATTTCCCATTTATTCATAGAGCTGATGAGAACAGTGAGCTAATGCCATTTGCATCCGAGAATCTCAGAGGATTGCCGAGCCAATGCCAAATGACATGTGCAGCAGACAGGAAACGACAAATTTTGATCAAATGTGACTGCGTCACTGGGAGTCGAAAGGAATGCAAAATGCTAAATGCAAAATGTGAACTTCATCTACCAGAAGTAGAGGCTAACACATATTAATAAGTAGCACTGCAAGTAAATTATAAATTTATCTCAAATGTTGTGTGGAATATACTTCATTAAATGCTGGAGTTTGAAAATAATGATATTAGATTAAAAGATTACATAACATTGAAAATAACTTGCAGATCGGATAATTTTTGGCAGTGGCAATTTGAATTTTTATAAGAAATCTCAAAGCGCGATTTTCTAGAAATGTAACACAAATAAAATATTTTGAAATGCATTAAGTATATATGGTTTATATTGATCAGTATCAATAGTCCATCTGTTCGTCATCTTGTCTGTTTCCAGTGTTAATAAATTAAACTTGGCTTACATCCATACAAGCCGTAGAAGCCATACCTTAAAAATCGAAATCTCGTTCATTTCATAACAGTCATTAATTTCACACTTGCAAGAATTAAGCTGCAATGCATATCAAGGCATATCAGTTTTAAAACTCTTATGATTTATCTTTTTATGTAGTTTAAAAATAAATTATAAGTAGATACATTTTAAAGTAAATTAATAAGTCAAGAATAGGCGAAAACTTATTTAAATTTAAAGAATATAATCGAAATTAATAAAATAAGTAAATAAAAATAAATAGTAAATTGTTTTCAAAAAACTTTACGACGATACCATGACAATAAGTTTAAAAACAAAACTTTTCTATCGCTCATCCCCACTTTGGGTGAAACTTCAAAAAACTCTTTCAAGTGCTCCATTGAAAAATGAACTACTAAAACTTCAGCTATCTTTGAGCTTTTGCTTCAGCTGTCAGTCGGAACAAATATTTTATATATACAGAAGAAATTGATTGCTTCTTGGTAAGAAATTATTATTTTTTTTTAATTTTGTACATTTTTTACGATTAGGTATGTGTTGTGTATATTGCCTTCATTTATAATATTTAAATAAGTAAATGTATTTTAAAATCGAATAAACAAAATTAAACTAATGAAATCCGTTTGTTATTTAAATGGGATCGTATCAAAAGAACACTTATATTTAAGTCAACATTTTACTACTGGTATTAAATATCAGTCAAAGTTACAACTCAACGCACATAACAAAATGACATTGTAGGTATAATTTTGTTAATAAGCAATTGTCAAAACTACGGTAAATACGAATAGTAACGATTTTAAAAGCATAGGTGTTGGGAGTGTTTTAAGCTGTATTTTTCTTTTCAAATTTTTATGTAGTTAAGCATGAATATGAGGGATATTTATTGAAGACAAGACAAGCGTTCTCAAATCGGTAGATGTTGGTGTATAAAAATATATATATTTATATATAAATATATATATGCATTCACATATGTATATAAAAAGTATATTGGGAACAAGTTGAGAGAAAAACTTACGTAAATTTGTGCAAATAGCTCAGCGAGCTGGCTTATTAGAGGAAATGGAAAGTACAGCTTGTTGAATTTTTGAATTAGTCAAACAGTTTACACAGTCTTGGACAGTTTGCACAGTTCAAATACTATGTTATTTGTGAAGGTTTGTATCTGTAAATTAAATAGTAGTTGACATGCAATTATAAAATATGGAATCGCTGGATAAGTCCGCGTGTCAAGCAACAAGGCAACTTGAACAAAGTCGAATACAGTTACAAACACTCACAGTCACAGACACAAACACAGTCACAGTCACAGTCACAGTCACAGTCATAGACACAGACACAGACACACACACAGTCGTGATGAGTTAAACATAATATAAATGGAGCGCCGCTAAGCGTAGACAAACATGACGTAAACCTCCAAAAAGTATGCTTGCTTTTTTTTCCACACAGATGTGATTTTTTTTTTTGACGTTTGCTGAATATATATTTTTTGGAACTTTGTTTGATTTAATTTTGGTTTGATTGTTTTGTGCGACTGTTGTTGGTACTGTGAAGACAAAAAGCACCAAAGATTTTATTTAATATTGTGTGTTTGCTTTGAGGCGACGCGTGTTAGACAACGGGTGCGTGGCACTCAGACAGAGCGACGACATCAAGGACATTTGGTAAGGCGCAGCACAAAGAGCAACAACAATAATAACACGAACAACAACAAGAACAAGAACATCAACAATAAAGTGTGTCACACACACACACACAAGCACACTCACACATGCACACATGCACACACACACTTACACAGTCTAATCAAATGGCATTAAAATTACGGAGCACGATCACAATGCCGATGTCGATTGGTAATTAATCGATTTAATATACGAAATGCACGACAACGCGGATTACACAACACTGTAAAATTACGAGTGCAGCTGCAACGGATTCTTTCACTTTCACTTTCGCTTGAACTTGCACAACTAAAATGGCAACGCGTTCGTAAATCCGTTGTGCGCTCTCAACTTGGCTAATTTCAAGCCCAACAATACTAAGTGTCTAGCCGACACTTATGCTCTTGTTGTTGTTGTTTTTGTTGCTGCTGTTGTTCTTGTACGTCTTGTTATTGTTGTTGTTATTGTTTTGTTAAGTAATATTAATTCTTGTTACATGCGCTTGCAGAAAACAACGTCTGTTGCGCACGAGAGCCGAGGACGGACTAAGCACAACACACGACTCAACTGAGTCGAGTTTTATATCAAAGGACTCGCAACTCGCTCGACTCGTTTCGGTCTTCATTCTCATTCGTTGAGCGCAATCTTTTCGTATGAGTGATTTTTCATACCCTGCCTTGCAGTGTGCCGAGTTTTTGATATAATATTTTTAATATAAGTAGTTTTTTATGATTCGGTACCCAAGTAAGGAATATTACATTAAATAGATTTTCCTGAAAATAGTAACGAATTATTATAATTATTATTATGAATTCTATTCTATATTCTAGTATTATTATTATTATCATCATAATTATTCTTCTATTCATTAAATGTTGTAGAAAAATGTAGAAAACCGAATTAGTTATACGATTTTCGTTTTTGTCACAAATGTACATCGAAATTGTGAAAGTTAATTAATAAATTAAATAATATTCGTTCAAACATAAGATTCGAACTTGTTCGTTGACAATGTCTACTTATTTTAAAAATGTTAATTCAAATGTTATATCATATTTTTATAAATTAAAAATAACTTGCGAAAGATAGTAAATTACCGATGACATTATATATTATTGTAGGGTATTCCGCAGTACATATTTCGATCGCAGTATTCTTACAGTTGAGTGCGTCACTGTTTTTGTTTTTCTACTTTCTGGCTTTGGTTTTTTTTAATTTTGGACCAGCCGCTTGCAATTTTTGGTTGCTCTGGGTTTTTACGTTTTATCGGGGGGCTGTGACAACCATCATTTCCGGTTTCCGTTTTGCATTAGTGTCACAAAAAACAGAGACAACTTTGATGTGTATGAAGCACCTGCTCGGCAGTGACAATTGCTGCTTATGAACAGAATCGCATAATCCAATAAGAATATTTGTACAAATGCCACTGCAAAATGCAAAGTCATTTAATTTGCATACAATCTTCGGCATGAAACTGAGATCCAGATACAGTGGTCGGGTGGGGGTGTGGCGGGTGGGTGTGGAAGTGGGGTGTGGTGGTGTTGTTTAGTACACCCGAGGGCATTGGGTGCAAATGAGCAAAGTTGAGCGTCCTTTTTGTTTATGAGTCAGACGGGCCCCGAGGTATCCATGTAATTGTGTGCCTAAAAAAGGCGTCCTGTACGTGTATGTGTGAGTGTGTGTGTGCTTGTGTGCTCGAGACAGCAACAACATCAAGGAAACACATGTCCCGATGCTGGGAGCAACCTGTTGGCAATGCTTATATAAATACATACATCTGTATGACTGTATGGCTAACTTATGATGGGGCTGCCGCTCAAACAAGGCCAATAAGCAGCGCATGCTTTTGGCCCAGTCATAGTTATTTTCCGTCATTATTATAATGTTGACAATTCGAATTTTGCCGTGACTAAGCTAATCAACTTCTATAGGAAATCTAAGCAATTATTGGAATGATAATATAATTTTTATTTATTTACCTATTTAATGTCGCTAATATAGGTCAAAGAAAAACGAAATGAAAGAAAATAAATTAAAAATAAATATAAATATTTATACAGATTAAAATTCAAATAAATAATTTTGTTTGTGTTTCTATATATTCATTCGTAAATGATTATTCGAATTTATTTATTTATTCGATATCGACTAACATCAGTTGACACAGAGAAATACAAATAATAAAGATAAATTAATTGAATACATAAATATTTATTAAACATTAAGTTTTGGGGGTATTTCATTTACAAAAATTTATCGCGCAGTAGCCTCATGGATATGGCATAACGCATAGAAACCAAATAAAATTGTCCAAATAACGATCAACATATTAATTGAAAAAATGTACTTTCTGATTGACGCAGATTTAGTTTAAACTTAGGATTTTATGTATCTCCAAGCTAGACTTTGTTCTTGTTTTTTTTTTATTCATTCGTTAAAGTCTGAAGCCCCCAATAATAATAAGCTGATTATTGCTAAATGCATCATAAATAATATTGTTTAATAGATGTTTAAATATTAAAGTTTATCCTATTTGTAAGACAAAAATAAGAACATGGAGAATGTGGAAATGTATATTTGTTGCTCTTCACTTCGGTAACAATTTATAGATAAAAGTCCGTTCTAGCTTATTGGCAGAAGGTGTAAGTTGGTTAACAATCCTGGGCAACAGGGGGAAACGTTGTTACAGCGTTAGAGTCGTTTGTATCCAGGGCAAATAGGTGCCCACATTGACATAGACGCCGGGCACATTTGCCTGTCCGCAGCCAATGCCCCAGGCCACCAGTCCGACCACAAACCAGACACCGTTGCTGGTGCACACGAGTGGGGAGCCACCATCTCCGGTGCAGGCATCCTTGCCCGCCTCGCCGCCGGCACAGATGAAACTCGTCGGGTTGAGCACAAATGAGGGTCCGAGGCGTGTGGATTGCAATGCCGTTTGGCAATTGGCATTGGGTATTAGTGGCACATCCACCTGACGCATTATTGCCTGATAGGCGCCAGTGGCGCCAAAGTCATTCTTGCCCCAACCGGCGACAAAACAGCGCTGACCCACAAAGCTCGTCGTGGGTAGACAAATAGTGCCAATGGTGGAGCGACTGGTGAGGGAGACTGGTGTTGCCAACTTGAGGATGGCCACATTGTTCTGGAGATTGTTGGGATTAAAGGCGGGATTCACATACACATTGGAGATGAAGACATCCTGTGCAGGAATCGGTTCAGTAATGCTCGCCGCATCCCATTCGCCCAAACGCACCTTAAACGTGCTCAAACTAATCAAAAGATAATCAATTATTATTATTAAGATTATCACATTAAAGAAATAAATAAGAATAGAAACAACTCACGCCAAATTGTAGACCTTGTGGGCAGCTGTGACAACATGTTGTGCTGTGATCAGTGCTCCTCCACCCAAATACACCTCCGACGTCGTCAAGAGCGCCACTTGCCACGGATATGCCCCAAAGCTAGCCTGGCCAGGACTCGCCAGAGCTGAGCCCGCTGGCGGCGGAAATCGTAATCCACATTGATAGTTCCCAGCCTGGCAACAGACGACCAAACCAAAGTTGCAGGACAACGGTGCCGCTGTGGTGGCAACTGGTGGCTGCAAAAGAAGAGCAGATGATTATGCTTCCATCGCTGTAACCCCAATCACAATCCCATTTCCATTCTTACCACTCCACCGCTGTTCACGATGCGTATGTCTATCTGTCCACTGCCATCATTTGGGGGTAGGGGCACTGGATTTGGACAGGATCCAGCTGGCACACAGCGACAATTTGTGGGTGTGCCAGGCGTCACGATGGCGGGCACAGGTGGCCAATTGGCTGGCGGCACCTGAGGTGGTAGCAGCGTGCCCACAATCAGCTGGCGTATGAGCACTGCAAGACGCCAAATAAAATACTTTAACGATTTTACCCAGGCCAACTCCCTTCCTAGACCACCCACTTGTCCTTACCAGGCACTCAAGCTAACCTGAAGCACTCAATTCAATGAAAACACTTTGAATTATCAATTACCCCACCTATCATCCCCAGTTAAACAAGCTCTTCCTGTCTATACCATCAATCATTAATTTCCATGCTTCAAAATTCAAGTATTTCACTTAGCATCTTCTCCAATTTGCACGTCAAACAAGCAATTTATATTTACACTGTAATAAATTCTGTTATCCTAAACAAAATTTTACGCTAAAATTAATTAAATGATAAATTAATAGAACCAAATTAAGTGAATGAAAATATTTAAAAAATTGTGATTATATTATAAAACTTAAGATTTATTAAACAGTTGACTCTTAATGTCTTCAAAAAATGTTAAAATTCTGAATCTTGTTTAAGAAAAATCCCGAAATTATCTAAAATTGAAATAAAAACTCTGCTCTTTGATCCAGGACTTTCACAACGTTTGATTTGACTTTTTAGTTTATATTTTTTTCAAGTGTACTTACGCGTGTGATTGTCTGGATTGCCCGCATCGCTGGGTTGTGGTGCGGCGTCTTCGGAGAGGGGACCGAGACTGGAACCGAGACTGGGACCGATACTGGGACCGAGTCTTGGGCCAATACTGGGACCTGGTGTAGGAACGGGACTGAGAGCGCCAAAGCTCCAACACCGAACGGAGGCGGCGGCGAGTAGGTGCAGCAGCAGGGAGAGTGTTTGTAATGCATTCATTGCCTCACCAATGACAACTAACACCGCTAAGTGACATGCCACTTGGCTATATAGGGCGCCCTAGGCGAACGGTCCGTAGCGTCAGTCCCCAATAAATTACCTGCCAAACGACCTCAGTTTAGAGCTCGCCTCAACTCAGGGCTTTTCCGAGCTGCATAACGCAAAAACGCTTTCAGCAGCAACCACAAAAAAAAATCAAAATAAATATAAAAACAACCACTAAAGGGAATTAACATGCTAAGAACGATACTGAAATGCTCTTATGTGTGAAATATATTATTATTTATTAGACTGATGCTTTGTTCAGTTGCTAATGAAGATTAATTAACAAAATTAATTATATCTTTTATATTGGCATTCATATTATAAAGCTTATTTTTCTGGGCGTTACCCAATGATTTTCATTTATTGCAATATGATTACTTAGAATAAATATAAAAATATTGAATATTGTTTATCTATTTAATAAACAGTCAAACAAAGGAAGCATAAAAATTTGTTTGACATTTAAATAAAATGGAAGGTTCTCCATTGATTACTGAATATTGATTTTTATTTATTGTCTACCGATTAACAAAGTTAAGTATTTTCAGCGTATAAATAAAATGGGAGAGTCCCACAATGATTCATAAATATTGATTCTAATTTTTGCATTTTCTTTTGGTATTGTATTTAGTATAAATTCATATAATGTTAAATTAAACACATCAATTTAAATATCCATTACAGTCAAACAAAGAAGTACAAAACTTTATATCTGATCTATATGTATATATTTTTCTATGTAAATGCATGTGGATATATGGAAATTGATTAGGGGCTTATCTAGATTTATATAGTCTGTAAAATTTTTTTCATTTGTTAATTTTAAGTAATTAAGACCCTAGCTTATCAAATAATATATATATTTAAAATTGCGTCAGCGACCGATTCTGATTAGCAACTGCAGTCCCAACTTCGCTAAGGCGATCCACAAAATGACAATAAACGCACAACTTAAGAATCTTAAAGAAACTTCGAGTAAGATAAAAAATAAGCATTTAAAATGTTACTAAAATAAAAAAAATATATATATAAACTTAAATAAAATATTATTCAAGTAGATAAACTTCGAGTCCTAGAAAAAATAAACATTACTATATGTATTAAAATATTATATGAATAATCGGTTGAGAATACAATTATACAACAATTAATATTCATATTACAAATTAATGCTTAAAGGAATATATTTATTTTGTTCAATACGATATTAATAAATAAAATAAAGTTGTCCTTTTTTAAGTGGGTTTGAGTAATGGAGATAATATTGCATGAAAATTGGTTCCTCAACGCAAATGTCACTTAATTTGAGCTAGAATAGTTTGAGATTTATCAGTTCCACAATAAATTAGTTTTTGATTAGTGCAGTCCTACCATATATACAGGAATTTTGAATTTATTTATTATTATTATTATTATTTCTTTATTATATTATATATACCTTTGGATTTTCTTCTTTTTTTTCTGTTGATTATATTATATTATATATATTATTATTCTACGACTTGGGTTGCAGGCATAATAAAAAGGTTTCTGTAAATCATAATTTATGTGTTGCGAAATCATTAAAAATATGAATGTACCCATTGCAATGACTAAACAAAGTGCCTTCGATGCGTTAATGTTGAGTATATGCATGTGTTCGTGTCAATGAGTATGTGTGAATATAAAATTAAATAAACAAACGACCACCGACAATAAAATGTACACACTGTTAAACCCTATACATGCACACAATCACACACAACCACACACCCCTATACACCCACACACACACACACACACATTATAAATGTTGTGTGTTCGATATGCGGTCATTGGATATTAAATAAATTGCGCTGACAACTTTGTAGTGATTATTTCATTTCGGTTTTTATTTCCATTGTGCTGGGCCGTTATAATTTTTACCGTGCACCAGATTTTGATTTGCTTTTAACAACTTAATGGTTTAATTGTGCAAATATACACGAGTATGAATAATAGTTTAATAGTTGTTGTTGTCGCTTAACACTTTCCGCTTGGCTGATAAACACTTCTGTATCTGTGCACCTGCAACTAAAAAAAAAACACTTTCAGTCCGTAAAGCCCCTGAAAATGTTAAGCTAACTTGGGCAAAGATATCAAAACGAAGCTTTTTTTTATCGAATGCCTTGAACGCTTTCGAATGTGAAATTAAATTGTTATTACTAATTGTGATGTTCAGCCACATGGCTCACGTACAGCTGGACTTCTCGGCGATTCCAAAATTATATGGCCCCGAAAATTTCTGGCATTGGCGAATGCTTATACATTCCTATTTGGAATCTTTTGATATGTGGAAGGATCACCCGAAGGATGTAGGCGGCAACATTATTTGCCTTATGAAATTTCTAACTACTATTTAATTTACTACTTTTCAGTGCCCCCAAGCGAAGTTCATAATTTTGGCATGTATTCAGGCTGACAAGATTGAGCCAGGATACGATGAGATGAGCTCAAAGCAGATATTCAAAAATCTGGAAGAACGTTTTCGTCCCTATTGAGTAGAGCACATAATTACAAAAAATTGATTTTGGCATATTACGACTTTGTTAGTGCAAACTAATTAAATAATACTATTAAATAAATAATGGATATTTCCAAATTTCGTTGGACAGCATAAGTAACTTGAAGTGATTGATTTTAGCCAAGTTAGACAAAAAAATAACAGAAGTATCATAATAATAGTTTGGAAAAATCGTAAATGTATTTTATTGGGAAAAAATATAAAAAACAAAACTTGAATTTCAGGAATTTAGAAACGCGACAAGTAAATTAGAAATAATATCTTCAAGATTTATATTTTTATAGCAGGGACAAAAAGTAGCTCTCATGTACGTTGTATAAATCAATCTTATGTAATTTTAGCTAACTATGCTTGTTAAGCGCTAAAACGACAGAAATAGCCGTTAGGTAATTTGATTAATATTTAACATTTGAAATCAAATTTAGCGGCAAGGGCAAACTCCCGTGAAGTTGGCTGCGGGCGCAGAATTGAGCTCACATTAAGTTGGCTGCGGAACTAAACGAAAAGCAATGTGGAACTAGCTCATGCTCACTCTACCACCTAAATATCGGGAAATATATATTTTAAGCATTCGTAATTAGTAAAAATATGCAATTTGTTACTTTTCAGTTCAAGTGTTTCTTATGAAATAAATAGGTTGGCAGTTTTGGCACGACGGTCACACTTAATTCGATTGCGACTTATCGGTCCATTTTATTATATTATCGAAAGAGGCAGTCGGTCATCTCCGATAACAGTTGCATTTCAGTAGTCGAAGCGAGTGGATGTGCGGAGCCCGTGTGCTCATATTTGTGTTTTCCCCTTCAAACGTTAGTGCTAAAAAAATACACTTTTATGAATGACGCTAAGCTAAATATACGAAAGTTTTCGACTAATTACTAACAACGAATTAAGCACGTATTGAGAGACAAAAAAAATCAAAGCATATCTAAGAAAAACCAGCTCGAAAAGCAAATAGTCAAAGCAGGCCAAGAAGCCAAAACAACGCGACAAAATCGACACCTGTTTGCCTGCATTCCTGAACCTGTGCACAAATCTGTGTGTGTGTGTGTGTGTGTAACCATGTGTATGTGTGTTTGTACTGTGTTGTGAACCTGTGTGTGAGAGGGACATGCCAACTGATTGCATTTTTTTAAACAGTGCTTTAAAATAAATAACAATTTGTTTGGCCTGCAAACTAGCTGCACAATTGCAACATTTAGCAGCCAGCTTTTTTTTTGTTTCTGGTCGTCGCGCCTGCGCCGAAGAAGAAGCATAAACAGAAACAGTCAACAGACAACAGCTAAAAACAAACGAAAACCGGTTAGAGCGAGATAGAGAGACAGAAACACACGCATACATTTGCAGTTTGTATTCGTTTTTATTTTTGTTGTTTGCCTCTGCTTGGAAAACACAAAACAGAAGAAAATACACGAAGCAAAACACAACAAGAACAACAACAACAACATCAACGAAGAAAACGTAAAGAAATATAAAATATAATTTCAAGTGCTTAAAGTGTGAACGCTGCAAAGAAAACAAAACGGGCAATTTTCACGCACACACAGGAAATGAGAAATTCAAGAATTGAAAAGAAGTTGTGAATTGAAAAGTGTTCGGATAAGGGTTAATGCTCAATGCCTTATCGCTCCACAAATCGAAAGTGAATTAAGCTAAAAAATAAAAATAAATAATTATAACTGTAAAATTGCTCAATCAACAAGTTTCTCGTTTCCCGCTCTTATCACAAGCCAAATTAACCAAATTGACCAAATTGGTGAGTAAACCTATTTTTTCCTTCTTCTGTTTATTGTCGGCTTATTAAAATGTTTTATAATGCTTTTATTGGCCATTACTGAAATGTTGTCAAGGTTCTTCACTTATCGAACTTATCTTAAATAATAATATATATTGGGAAATATTCCTACGTCTTTTTGTTTTAACTTTTGTGGATAGCATTATTTGTGTGTGTTTGATTTGAAAATGTGTAATTCCTGAGTTGTAAATTGGCATTTAAAATGCATTGAGTTTAAAAATTGATACAAGAAAATTGAATTGCTGAGGAAAATGTTCTTAAATTAAAATGGTAAATTCCGGAAATTGAGAGATGTTTTTGATTTAAAATAAATGATATGGTATAAAATGCCAATTTAAATTTCAAAACTTATTTTCAAAACTATATAAATACCAAAATTTAAATAATAATATGTAAAGAAGTTGATAATTTCGAACATTATTTTTATTTAATAATTTATTCTATGTGGACCAAAAATAGTCTAAAAAACTACGAGTTAAATTATATAAAATCTAAAGGGCGAAATTATCAAAATTTAAAAAATTAGAAAAGATAAAATAAACAATATAATTGAGCCATCGAGCTTGCAACTTATTTCAATATAATCTCGAAATATGTTACTTTATATTCATAAGTGTGTCATTACAAAATCTACTTCATTAAAGATTTTTTAAATACAGTTTTTTGCAGTTAATATTTCAGCAAATGTTATTACAAAATGATCTCAATTTTGTCGACTATCTTTAATGGTTTTTTTTTAGCTGACTAAACTTTAAATTATATATGATTTGTTTTCTTAAATACTATGAAATATAATTGATATGTTTTCAATTTATGTTTGTACTTTACCTTGTCTCGGATCATTGACCAACCTTTGAACTAACTCACATTCAATTACAAAGCTCAACTTTCACTGAATTGCGCGCCAAAATTGGCAGCACACACAACACACATAAAGCAACTAACAAATTTGTTGTAAATGCCAAATTGTAATGCAATCGTTGTTGTTGTTTGTAAATCAAATTTGTTTCACGTATCTGTTGTGTTGTTTTTACGGCTTTTCATTATTTTCCCATATTTTTTTTTTTTTTGAGTGTGTTTCGTTTTCATTTTCGCTGGTTTTGTGGCTGATGTAATTCAAAGTTGATTTCCGAGCTGATTTGCAGCTTCATTAAACCCCCAAACTCGGCTCAAATTGAGTATAAGGCGAGTCAAAGCTGATTATGAGATAATCAGCTAAATTGCTCAACACAATTGCTGCAACTCACCAGAGAAAGACAGACAGAGACAGAGAGAGAGAGAGAGAGAAAGAGAAAGAAAGAGAGAGAGAGGGGGAGATAGTCTTAAGTAGTTAATTGTTTCCGCGTAAGATATAGATATATCTATGCTTATATAATAGTAGAATTCTCTGCTAATCGCGTTAGTATTCTTAACTGAATACTCTGGGCATGATTCATAACACATTCATTCCATTCATTTAATCATTTTGCATGCTGAACGAATGATCAGAAACCCGATAACATAATTCCAGCAACTGCCAAATATTCCCACAAAAAATTATAATAATAAAAAAATGCAGAAATACAACAACAAGAACAATCATGGATCTAGCTGCCATATAACAACAACCACTCTATAAAACAGCAACAACAACAAAAACGATAAAAACAACAACAAAACCCATACTCAAACTATGCACATATAAAAAGTTATATAAAAAACACGCTAAAACACGCCAAACAGCAAACAAAACCACAAGCAGCGCAAGTGTGTCTCTCTCTGTGTGTGTGTGTGTATGTGTGTGTGCAGGGAGAGAGAGAGAGGCTGAAAGGGGGGCATAGACAACGCTCACTTTGAGCCACGCTTCAATTGCAAATGCGCCAGCGAGAAAAAATGCATTGACGCAGATACGCTGGCTACTAGTTGTTGTTGCAATTGTAAATTCTACAGGTTTCTGTTGCTGTCTGTATAGCAGTTGTTGCCTTAATGGCGCACAACAACAACAACAACAACAACAATGCTCTGCAATTTTACGCCATAGCTAAAAAGGCGAACGATCGAATCAAAGCAATCGACGATCAAAGCTCCTCGAATCATAGGCAAGCCACCAGGCCAAGCGGGCAGAGGGGTGAGGCGAGGTGAGGTGAGGATAGAGGCAAGGCGAGTTGAGCTTTGACAGAATTGGCAATTGGCCGCAGTGTGACCATTGGCCAAGTGGGCAGTCGATTGGAAACACAACTCTGCCTCCAAGGATGCAGACGTGACAATATACAAAAGAATATACAAATAAATTAATTTAAAATATAAATTAATATTTATGCAAAATTAAATGTTATAATATTTAATAACATACAAATAATTTGTGGTGGAGTTTTAATTACAAAAAATGACTCAACATTTGCTGCATGTTTTTGTTTTTATAATTAATGCAATTAAATAATAAATACAAAAAATCTAATTTAAAATGCAAAATAATTATATAAAATATAAAATTTAATCATTATTTTTTAACTTGTGGGTATTTCAATTACAAAAATGAAATTAATATTTGTTGCTTGGTTAGGGAAAAACCCGGCCAGAAATCCCAATCAGACCGAATATAAAAACAAGAAAACACCTATTTTAACCATACCAAATATTATATTCCCTTATAGACCGGTGCCAAATTGCCGACAACTAAATTTAAATATGAATTTTAAAAACCTACTGATTGCATATACGTAGTTCGCTATTGACTAATAATTGAAGCAAATTTTATATATTTAAAAATTATATATTTATAGCATACTGGGTAACTTACCCAGTAGTGATACTGGTCAAGAATATAAGAATATTTAATGCGTTACAAACTGTACGACTAAATTAATAACATAAGTTGAAAAATCAAACAAGGTACGAGAATCTTTGACTATATAATCAAATTTTTAGGTTAATGATTACCTGTCATACAAATTAATTTGTATTAATTTGCATATATATTTATTTAAATATATAATGGCATTTATTAGAAGCTTAGGCACTTCAGACCAATTTCTTGAACTTATTCACATAATTAATTAAATAAAGTGATTGGTCTAAAATTATTATAGCATTATTACTTAATTATTAATATTAACTATACTACATGAATATACCAAATATTATAACAATTAATAAAATAAGTAGGAGCAATAGAGATTGGGCCTTAAGCTCTTCAAAAATGAACAATAATACTTTAAGTATAAATATTTTCAAGAAATCTTTATCAGCGTAGTGCCGAATTGAGTAGCTGTGTTATCAATATAAAGTAGTAAGTTGTCAAGCAGCATAAAAGGTTTAATTT